GAAGAACGGGCAGCCCATACTCCTTTTAACGTCTGGATGTTCTGGTTCCGCGACCCCTTGTAATTATTGAGGGATTGTGTATATTGCGTGAATGGGGACTTCTAGCAGACTCTAATAGGAATCTGGACAAGGCAGCGTGTCCTTCCACACAAAGGGCATCCAAGGGACCCTCGTAGCCAGAGGGGGCGTCTGGTCTTCTTCGTGGGGCTCGTAACTTATTTTTCGAAACTGACACCTAGGGTGAAAGACATGCCTGGGGAATCGGGGTGAAAAGGGTTTCCCAGAATATGGGCCCAGTCGGTGTGACCTAAGCGTGGAGCACTGGCCAGAAAAGGAGAGGGGGACTAGCCTGCGTGGAGAAAATTGTGACCAGTGGGTTGGGTGTTTTGCAAGCACGAAGCAGACGACGCGGGCCTTTTAACTTTCCCAGCCTGGCGCTCAGAAGGTCCCGCAGGGATCCTACCCGGCTGGCAGGGCCCATGCAAAGGAAGTCGGCAGGGAGCCGGAGCCCACGCGGAGCCCGCGGGCCAGCAAGCTCCGGTGAGCGAGAGCTCCAGCGCTGAGCGCCGAGAGGCGCGCAGCTCCTTCATTAGCTTCCCCTCCACGCGGCGCTGCATGCCTCGGAAAATAAGTTAGCAAACGGGGAGCCGTTTATCTCTTTTATCTTGGGGCCTGATCCAATTAAATAAGTGCACATTTACATTTGCATCCATCAGGCGGGAGTGCAGAGAGCCCAAGGTTTGCTCGAAGCAAATAAAAGCAGATTTCAATGGGATAGTGGCGTCTGTGCACGCCGGGCTCATCAGGACGCTAGAAATAAGGGAGGTCAGGCGGGTGGCCTTGGAGTTCCAGGGCTGGGGTCTGCACGAAGCTAGAGACCCCCGAGGTTCCGAGGGGCGAGCCAGTGAGAGGGGCGATGCCAGGGTTGAAGCCGAACCCCTGAGATGTTTCCGTATTAGGCCACAACTTGAGAGGCTTAGGGCTGTGACCCAAGCTACATTTAGCGCTAAAACGAAAAGGAGACGGCTTTTGGCCTGGTCAGAAAGGCAGACCCATGGGGTGGAAGTGGGAACGGTCTCTCAACTTTGACCAGTTTTGGAGGGGCAGCAAGGTCCCAGACGGGCCCGATTTTCCTCCGGTTCTTGGCGGAGTGGCAAGATATGCGGAGCGCCAGGCCGAGTGTGCGCCCCGCATATTGAATATTCCTAGGGAGTTAAGCACTCAGCCATTTGAGTTGAATCGTTGACACCACCGACTCAGCGCATCTGTTGAGCGCGGGAGAGAACTCGGGTAGGAGGACGCCCTGGTGAGCTCGGCCTGTTTTGCAAAGCCGACTTCCTTCAAGGTGCTTTCGAAATAGGAGGGTTTGGAGCAATGGAACCACAGGGTGCATTCCTCCCTCCCCCCCCCCTTTCCTATAAATGTACACTTAGCAGACCAAAAGCTTTTCGGACCAAAACGGTCTCTGGGAATGCCAGAACCAAACAGAGCGGGAGCGGGGATTCAAGGCCAGAGCTGCGTTTGGCTGGGGGCCCCCATCCGCAGGCTGCATATTTCTTTCTCAACTAGCTAGAGGTGTCTGTGTCAGGGCAGAAAATTATAGAGTTAAAAATCTTCTGGTCGCGTGTTCAATGTCCCCAAATCCTTAAGTGTAAGAACTGGACTGCGAACCACCAAGTCCCGGGGGTTCGAGCCCACCAGTAGCTACGCGGAAGAAAGATGAGGCTTTCTGCGCCGCTAAAGATCTACAGCCTCAGAAACCCTATACAGGATCGTTCCAAGCCGGAACCGACTCCACAGCACTTAGTAATAACAACAACCGGATCCTGGAGCTGCGCAGGGGGAACTGGACGGTGGCCCCCAGTTCCCATGTCTCTCTCAGTGGGGTCGCAGAGAGTTGGGGTGGGTTCAGAATTTAAGTCCTGCAGTGGATGAGAGGCACAGTTGGGTCTCGCCTAACTCCCAGTCTCTGAAAACCGACCAGTAGGCGGCGCCCTTCCTAAACTGCATCCTAGTCCGGCTCCCTCCTGGGAGCGCAATCACATTCCTTTCACTTTGGGCTTTTTGCAAAGCGCTGCCGGGTGCCCCAGTCTGAGTCGGCAGCTAATTGTGGGAAACAGGTGGGCCGTGAGGCATGTCCGGTACCGAAAACGCACTCACGACCCCCGCCCCCACACTCTTCCAGGTCCCAAGATCTACGCACATCACGGAAATGAGTGGACCTAAGGAGTGTGTCGACTAGGAGGCCTTGCTGCGGCCTGGGGGTGGGACGGGGTGGGAGAGATTTCGGGCCCAGACACCCCAAGTCTCCAACGGGAAGAGAAAAGACCATCTTCCTCAGCTTTTCCTACCTGCCCAAGTAAGCGCCCTGAAGGGGTGAGGGGGAGGTGGCGGGGACTGGGCTGTATATTCCTTACCCTTATAGTCAATGAAATGTACTCTGTCCCGCACAGAGGGATAAGGAAAGATTTGCGGTCTCAGGGGACTGCCTGCATAGACCTCACGCTGTGACCCCGCGACCCCAGTGCCAGGGATGTAGCGCTTCCTAGTCCTTAAGTCGGGCGCTCCTTGGGGACCAGAACCAGCTTTGCCAGGAACAGGTGGTAAAGGCCGGCGGAGCCCCAGAGCGATATGTTTTAGGCGTTGCGGGAAGGATATTGGATGGAGATTTGGTGCCCTTTACCTAGTTTGAGAACAAACCCGGTCCTCGCCACATGCCAGAAGTTTTTTTTTCCCAACGCCTAGAAGACGCACGGCCTCAGAGACAGCCCGCAACGCCGCAAAGCGAGGCTTCAGATGCGAATCGAGAGTATACAAAGACACGCAACGACTTCTGGGATTAAACGCGGGAGACAACTCCTAAATGCCCCCAACCTCATTCTGCCCAGCAGGCCGCTTCCAAACGGTTAAGTCGCTCGCTAGACACCAGAAAAACCGCTGGTGACCAAAACGAGAAAACCCCAGATTTCACTAGGGACTTGGACTCAAGACGCAGGACGCAAAGAAAACCATAGACTCCGTAGTGGCCAAAGGCGGGACGAAGGTGGACAGGGGCAGGGAGCGCCTCCGGCATCAGTCGTCGAGCTGCGGGCGGTTTCAGTGCTCGCACACCCCTCGTAGGTAGAAGCGCTACACGCTCCCGGGAACGTGGTTCTAGTTCCCAGGCGCTCCGCGGGCACAGGGCTCCCAGCCGCGTCCCTCAACAGATTTGGGAGCCCCGCGCCGCGCCATTTGCATATTCCCGGGAACACAGAGAGGCCTGTAATTTTCTTTTTTCAATCGTTGGGCAAGGTTTTAGAGCCAAAGGTTCCAAACCCCGCAGAGTTGATTCGCCCTTAAACTCTCTCTTCAGAGAAGGGGACTAGCCTATTCTTGTGACTTTTTTAGGCGAGACGCCGCCTCCTGTGACTGCATATTCAACAGGGAGGAGAAGTTGATTGTGAACTATTCTATGTGCCCATGGAGGGAGCGGGGAAGCGGGGTGTAGGGAGAGTCATCTCTGGAATTCAATTGTTTAAAAAAATCATTTATAATTAAAGGGACAAAATCAAATAGATCTTCGCATGCATATTTAATCATTCACACTTCCAGCTTTCAAACCATTTTCCCTGCGTGAATTGTCTCACTAATTTAAACTCTGAAGTCTACTGCTGTTTGCTAAAACATCTGGACAATGCAGCCTTCAAGCTTGTTTAAATTCGAATAACCAAAAAACAAAACAAAACAAAAGTTAAAACTCTGGTGAAAGTTTTCGTGTTTTTTAAAAAACCGAGCAGCATTCAAGTAATCTCGATGAGAAATGCAAGTATGTGCCATTTTGAGTTAGCCCAATTAAACCGGTGTTCTGTTCAAACTCATTCTCTTTATACTCAGGCGTGGCTTGAATCGAGCAAATTCATTTCCCTTGCTGGAGTGTATTTTTGCTGTAATATCCTCTGCGCCCTGCTTGGATCACCCAAAATTTCTCACGAAGTGAAACAGGCAGCTCACATCTCAGGCGCAAAATGGAGACCCCAGAACCTCGGAAAAGCCTGAATTTACAGTCTTGGCCGACTCTGGCTCCAGCCGTGTCTCTTTCCCATTTGGGATTGAAACACAGCCAGATTTTTTATTTTGAGGTGAAATATGCGGGATTAAAACGAGAAAATAGTATCTCCGAAATTCTTTGGTAACTACTCCTCGGACTCCTGAATCGGAGACGGGGAAGTGCTAAGGCGAAGGCAAGTCTGGTGGAATCTACACCAGCCACGTTTTTAGGCCTGAACTTTGGAAGGCCACTTGTCCAAAAAGAGGCCCACATTGGAGGGCGGGGTCGTTCGGTCTTTTCCCCACGCTCCCCCACCGGGTCCTTCCGCCCCCTAGCTCTAGTAGCTAAGTGCAAGCTTGAAATTCAGGACAAGTGTGACACCTACCTGTGAAAGCATGGAACCGTCCCCTCGCCCGGCCTGCCACCCGTCCCCAAGACTGCGCGGGGGTCTACTCGGCCGCCCGCCACCCCAATGGTCGGGGACCGCACCCTCTCTAATTTAATCAAACCCAACGAAGAGATCAATGCCCAATTTTGAAGGGGTAGAGAAGACAGTGGCTTGGGAAAGCGCCTCCCCAAACGCATTAACTCACAGCACCTTTGAAATAGTAATAAGGGCTAAATCCGGCATAAAATCGAACTCATTAGCAAAGTTCACCAGATGATTGCTTTGCATAAAACACGACACTGATTGGAAGTAATTAGGTTAAGCGATGGAGCTCGGGTGGTACGTGTCTCTAGCTGGCTTTGCCATCTTTTCTCCCTCCTGGGCACACACTTGGGTTCCCTCCTTCTTCCTCCAGGGTCCAATCTCCCCCAAGCAGCCAGTATCGGTGATCCAAATCTGCATTCCGGGCAGGGCCAGTTTCCCCCCGGGCTCACTGCCTAATTATGGTTTCCCTCTGGCGCTCCAGGGTCTGCGGAAACCTTTCGTTCCCCACTTCGAAAAAAAGTTGCAGTTAGCACCTTTTGTCCAATGCGAAGACGGACAGCTTATTGAGGCTTCTAAAAAGTAATGATGGCTCTGATTATGTTAAAATCTCTTTTAATTAAATATTTTGCATTTTACAAAGGCGGCTGCAGTTTCTTTTACTTTTTTTAATCTAAGAGTAGAGTATAACCTGTTTCCTTTCTGTAATAATACTTTAGCTCAGACCCAGAAAAATCATTAAGTGTAAAAAATTAAATTAAACTTGTATTTTAAACTATGAAACAGTCTTGGGGGGAAACACAAGTGTATATATTTATATCACAAAAAAAAACATTAAATGCCTGTACAGGTAGCTTGATTTCATAATTTACTTCAAAGATATTGAATTATCAATTTAAATACAAAAATGCTACATTAAATATACAGAATAAGATTTAATACAAATCTTTTTTTTAAAGTTTTTTTTTTTCTTTTCAGTTGGCTAAGACATTTTTGTGTGGAGATGTTTACATTTTTATGCCATCATCTCCATAAACTATAAACTTTAGAATAGGAGGGACAGTGTGTTTTGTTTTTGTTTTCTCTTTTTGGTGATGGAAAAATAACTGCCAAGGCCATGTTTTTAATAAGTTAGAAAAGTCCGGGACCGACGCAGCCCGTGTTAAATGTCGGACATACCTTTCTTCAACTCATAGGGAGAGTCTTTGCACAGGTCTAGCTGGGACTGGCTCCGCAACATTTTCGGGTCTTTAGCCAAAACGTCCGCTCGGTTCAACACGGTCTGGTTTAATCCATTGAAATGCGAGCCTGGACCGGTAGTGGGGCCTGGCCCGGGCCCCGGGTGGCCGTGAAGGTGTCCGAAGGAACCATAGTTCGTGTAGCCAGGATAGAAGGGTGCCGTGTAGTAGAGAGGCCGGGACAGCACCGTCCCACCGGGAAAAGGGCACTGCGCAGAGGGAGAGCGCGCGGGCGCTGGGGCTGGTGACGCGCGACTGCCTCCCAAAGATTGCCCGGCTACTGGCCCGGGACACGGAGGGCATGGGGAGCCCTCGCTCCCTCCGCCCCCGTCCTTGACCTTGTCCGAGGATGTGGCGATCTCGGCTAGAGACCACAGTTTGGGCTTGGCGAGCACCGCCTGTGGCGGTGGCGGCGGCGGCGAGTGGATGACCGAGGGCCCGCCGGGGCCAGGGGGCAACTCTCCCGTAGCCGGGTGCGGACCGGACGCCGGCGCACCCGACGGGTAGTGAGGGACCGAGTCCTCGGCCAGCCGTGCCGCTGTGGGCCCAGCTGGGGAGGATCCGCCAGTGCGGGGGGGTCCCGGCAGCGAGTCGAGAAGGCCTTCGGAGGAAGGCTCCTTAAAATCCGAGTCGCTGAGGCTGCCCTCGGTCTCCTTGCTGGCGGGGGTGGGCGGTCCCAGCAGTCTTTCGCAGCCAGCAGCTGCCTTCTGCTCCGCTCCTCCTGTGGACGAAACCCAGACGGTCTGAGGCACAGAGGCCGCGAGACTGAACCAATAAGTCCTCGCCCGCAAAGGCAGACCCGTGCTCCCAATCCCAAGCCCCATGTTCCCCTCCAAACTCTCTCGTCCCTTCTTCCTCCCGCTGAACACTCCCGCTCGCGTGGACCAACCTGCTTCGGGGCCCTCGGGGTCGCCCTTGTCCTCGGTCTTCTGAGGCTCGTCCTCGTCGTTCTTCTCCAGATCAATGTTCTCCTCCTCCTCCTCGTCCTCGCTGCGGTTCCGCGGCGTCCACGTCATCTTGTTCTCCTTCTTGAGGCGCCGGCGCGCGTTGGCGAACCAGGTGGACACCTGGGTGAGGGTCATCTTGGTGATGATGGCCAGCATGATCTTCTCGCCCTTGGTGGGGTAGGGGTTCTTGCGGTGCTCGTTCAGCCAGGCCTTGAGCGTGGCAGTGGCGTCCCGCGTGGCGTTCTTCCGGTATGCTGGATCCCCGTACGGGTATGAGCCCAGGGGTGCCGCGTATGGGTGGTACCCCAAGGATCCCGCCATCCCTGGCGTGTGGTCGTAGGGAGAACCCTGAGGGGGGACAGATAGAAGGCGAGCGTTGACCAGAGACCTTAACTGCCACCTGAGAGACCGAAGCACACCGGGGTCTGTGGGGCCGCACTCTGGCTTCCTCTGGGCTCAGATCCACAGGTAACCTTAACTCCCCAAAAGGCAAGCAGGGACTCCAAATTCGGAGTCTAGTCTTTAGGGGGGTCCCCGAAGCCATCCCAGACTCTGTGCCACTCTGTAGGTCCCTGTCTGCCCAGACAGTTCCCTAAGCGAACTAGCCATCGCTGCCAGGCCCTCCCCTCCACCGGGAGAGAGGCCTGGGAGCGGCGGCAACTCAGCGCCAAGTACCCCCGCGGCGACGCCTTAAGCAAAACAGGAGAGAGCTGGGGGAACCTGGGCGTCTATTTCGCAAAGAAATGCAAACGAAATGCCGCGTCTTACCCCAGCACCCCCACCTCTCCAAATATGCCACCCCAAACCTAAGCCACCGCGCGTTTCCAGAAAGTGCACGCGGACGAAAAATCCCGGATGCACCGCAACTCCTCCGACTTTTCAGAAATTTAATACCTTCAAATCGGATTGAAAACATAGGATTGGGGATTTGCAACATTTTGGGGGTCTAATTAAAGGCGATGCCGAATACATTTACATAGATTTAGTACACTTCTATTCAGATTTCAGGTCTATTTCTTCTTAACTGCTTTTCCAAAAGGGCCAAACCAAAAACAAACAGCATTCGCCGGGTGGTTCTGAAACCTTGTTTGAACCAAATGCTGCTCTTTAATTGCAGCGAGCGCTCCCGAAAAACCCCACCAGCTATTCAATGCCAGGAAGACGCCGCTCTCCTCCTGAGCAACTCCTGAGACCAAGGCCTAGGAGAGGTCGAGCGAGACAATTGTCCAAGTTTGCAGGAGCCCCGAAGCCTGGCGGATGCAGTTTGCGGCGTCGCGGCGGCGGGTGTTTCCCGCAAGTTCTGCCCACTGCGCGGGTCCCCGAAAGCCCACGCCTGTCGCGGATCCCGTTCACTCACCACGTACGAGGAGAAGGCGGCGGCAGCGGCTGCTGCGGGGTCGGCTCCGTACTGGAGGTGCGAGTTGTAGCCCGGCGAGGGCGCAGTGAAGGCAGTGGAGCCGGCATAGGGCGAGAACGCCGACCCCGACGACGAACGGCCGAGCTCATCCGTGCGGGGCCCCGAGATGACGCTGGTGCTGTAAGCCGGGCACGAGTAGAGCGCCAGCGAGGCGGACGGCTGGTACAAGTAGCCCTGCGGGTAGGACATGGCCACACACCGGCATGGGGCGCGCCGCGCCGCGGCCGCCAACAAGCCAGGCGGCGCCCAGCTAGGGCTGGCGGGAGGGCACCTGGCCTCCGACTTCCCCGGGCCCCGGCTCCCGGGATCCGGCCCGCAGAGCCTCTCACTCGCTTCCTTAGCGCCTTCGGCTGCAACCGCCGCTCCTACTCCTTTACGCGCTTCACACGCCCCGGCTGGCCTTTTTTTTTTTTTTTTTTTTTCCCCTCCTTGCTTGCTGCTTTCTCTTTCCCCCCTTAGCTCTTTGCACCGGGGGGCTCTGCTTTTGGCTTCGCAAAGGTCCTGCCAAGATGCTAAGTTGGAAATTGAGGATTCTGACGCCTTGTGCGCGTCCGAAGCTCCTCCTTCCCGGGGTGTAGTCGGTGGGAGGACTGGCAGGAGTCTCTTGGCCAGCGCAGCCAACCCGACCGCCAGGCTCGCCTCGCCCTCTTCTCTCTTCCTCCTCGTCTCCCTCTCCCGCTCGCTGGCGCTCCCCTCGCCCCTCCCTCGTGCCCGCCTCTCTTCGGCGGCCCCCTCCCTTTCTCCTCCTCCCGGTCTCCCCCCTCTTCTTCTTCTCGATCTCTCTCTTCGACTCAGACTCTCGAGCGCCGGCTCCAGGATAGCAATCACATCCCAGGCGAGCCGATCGCTTCCAACTTTCCTCCCCGGCTAACTCCGGGCTGAGTGGCAGGCCGAACGCACCATGGGCCCTGGTTCACAGTCCGGCCACTTCGAAACACAAAGGGAATGAGGCCACCGACTGTGTGCCGGTGATCGCTCTGCCTTCTCTTCCCCACAGTAAACCTGGGGTCTTGTGCATGGATTTCTTGTTCGACTGAAGGCTGACCTCCGAGGGGTTGTCTCCAACCCCCACCTCCGGCTTCTCTCCCGCTCCTCCCCCTACCCCCCAACCCAGGGGGCTGGAGAGCGAATTGGAGGCCGGCCTGGAATTACGGTCCCTAGGAAAACCAGATGGATGCCTGCGCCCAGGGCGCCGCTAGTCCGGGAGGATTGCCCCTCTCCACAAGCAGCAGCAGCAGGTGGGCGAGTGACAGGCCTTGGACGTCTGCTTGTCTTCGGCCTGGCCAGTCTTCTACTGACCTCCTGTTGGCCGCCAACGAGATTTACGGGGCTGGGACTACGGGGATAGCCTTTCTTTAGAGGAGAAGCAGTGGGCAAAAGCTGCCTGACCATGAAGCTGCTATACCGGGAAAGTCTTTGGAACCCCTACCCCACAAACCCCGTCCCATGCCTCACAGCCCCTCTCTAGGCTGCTTTCTTAAGTAGCTCGCCGTTCCAGGCTGGTGGGAAGGGGTGCGGGTCCCCTTTCCATTTGCTCAACTAAGTCGCCTTCTTCTCACGCAACTCTAGCATTCGCCGACGCCGCAAAAACACTCTGCAGAGCAGTGCCCAATCCAACCACCGTTCAAAGAGGCGCTGGCGAGGCAAACATACACAACCGAGTCACAGTCCTTGCCCTTGCCGGTCACACAGAAGACAAAACAAACCGTCTATCCGTTTTTCCATCCCCACACCTCTGCCAGCACAAGTCACAGACGCACTAGATCTCTGGGACAGGCAGGGGTGCTGGTGAACCCGGGCATGGGCTAGTACAACGCTGGACTCGCTGCTGGAGCTCACTATATCTGGAACTTTGTGACCTTTTATAATGGGGCCACACGCAAGCCGAAGCACGACTACAGTCAAAGTCTCTAGCAATGACTCTGACGGGCGAAATACACGTTATTTCATCAGCTCCAGCTCCGTACACACGAAGCCACCCATCTACCCGCACACTCTCACAAGCTCGGTGGCGCGCCTTTGCGCACGCGCGCTGACTCCTCTGCCCAACTCTCAACGCTCAGGCCCCTAAACTGACTCAGCTACCCAGACTACAATCTCCGAAACCCTCTCTGTCTGCACCACCCTGTCCCTTACACTCTCTTTACCTCTGATTGGACGCTGGCCTCTGTTAGCCCCACCCACTACTACCCACCTCTCCCACCCCCAACGTCGAAAGTCGGTTTCCCTCCAAGTCTGCGAGCCTAAGGGGCGGGACGGGGCGGGGAGGGGAGGGGCGGGGCGGGGCGGGGCGTCGGCTGCGTTATTGTCATGGAAACGGGAAGCTGGTGGCTGCGGTGGCTGAGGTGGCTGGGACTATGGGGCCGTGAAGGCTGCAAGCCGGCGGAGACTGAGCCAAGGCGAGCAGCCCGGACTGCTCGAATTTGAGGGGGCGTGGATCGGGCTTATGGTGGCCCCTTAGAAGGTGAGGGTGCTGTGTCCCGTCCACCCTCCACCCCCACTGGCGTAGTCTGGACCCGCCTAATCGCGGGGAGAGCGAACTGAGAGCGCCCCGCGCGTCTCCGCCTTGCACCCTTCGCTCCCTCCTCTCCCAGCCTAGCATCGCCCGCCTCTGGCTCCGCCTGCCGCCGCTCCACCGTCGCCGCTGCCCTTCGGCTAACGGTCGGTACGGCCCGCGCGCGCCGCCCGCCGGGGGCTCGCGTCAGCCACGAGGGAGCGTCCGTGGTCCGCGCTTCCGTGCCACGGAGGAGAGGTGAGCCCAGAGCTCCGCCGGCCGCCGTCCCCCACCCTGATTGGATCCCCAGCTCCGCCGCGACCCGGCTGCCAGCTCTTCGAACCGAGTCCGCGTCCCCGCGTGGGCCCGATGGATACAGGGTCGCCCCGTGCGCGGCCGGCCGGGCCATGGGGTGGGCTGCTTGAGTGCCCACAGTGCCTCCCGGTGTCACCATGCGCTCCATCCACGCGCGGCGTCTCTGCCCTCTCGGCTCTCGTCCAGGATGCTGATTTCTGAAATGGAATCCTGGAGGTTTGTGCCACGAGAATTTGAATCTGTCACACAGACATCCTCATTACATCATCCTGCCATTGTAGGCCTTATGAGGGTTTGGGTTGATTGTTTTTGTTTCGTTTTAGGTTTGGCTTGGTTTGGTTTCTCTCATTTCTTTTACGCTTTTCTATTTGGTGTCAAAGACTGGAGAGAATCTTGCAAGATAATGAAGCACGTAGAATTTATAGTTCTATTGCTGTGGTTGTCACCTCTGCTCTACGTCAAATTTAAGACTCATTTCTAAAGGATGTCTCTATTTTCTGCTTTATTTGCACATTGATGGTTCTGCTGCTTGGCTGGCCTCGGCCACCCGGTGTCTGAGATAGAAATTGTGTTAATAAGTGAAACGGAGGGATCATTAGTAGGCAGATAGAATTTAGACAGCAGCCCACGGCTTTGCTCCTTTTTTTTTTTTTTAATGAAAACTTGCACAATTATGCTGATAAACATAGGTTTTGATTTGTTTTAATCTTGGTAGTGGTGGCGAAGCTTTCTCTCCTTCCCTTTTTTTTATTCCTTACAATTTACCATCTCTTGCTTTTGCAGAAGCTGCTTTTACTTCCCCACATCCCTTGTCAAGGAAGCTCGCTCCCCCCATCAGAAGGAGAAACTGTTCCCCTCCCTCCTGGTCCAAGTCACCAAGAAGCCTCTTTTTTTTTTTTTTTTCTCCTTCTTCTTCTCCTTGTTTCTTGCTTTGTATCTGAACATTTTAACTTTGATTACTTTAACCCGGAACTTTCTTAAATACTAATTTTGAAACTTCCTAGAGATTTGTTGGTTTGTCATGTCTGCACGGATCCAGTTATACATTACTCAGAACATTTCAAACTTCAAAATTAGATCCACAGCTGTACTGAGAAGATATGGCCGCTGAGCTTGCTCCTCGAGTTTGGGCTGTACAGTTGTCATTGTTTCAATCAAGTGCAAAAGAAGTTATTTATGTTTATTTAGTGTAATAGCTGTTTACAGTTAAAACTTTAAAGACTCATAAAAGTAGGTCGGCTGGGTTTTAAAGATCTCATCATTCTTGTGGGAGACACAGTACAAGAAAAAGCAACAGATTGCCTCTGTCCTATCGCTGTGCTGTTTTGGAGTGTACTTAAAGGATTATGATTGATAAGGCTGTCTTGCCAGAGAATGTTGACACAGGTGTGCATCGTTATCTTAATTAAGATCCTGAGAAAATGTTGTCTATAAAATGGTGACATAGAAGGGCGGCGTATTTTTGTACAGCTTTGCTTTTGGAGAATGTAAATTGCACTTGAAGCTTGTCTTTGAGCTTCCAGATTTTGTGAGTACTTTGGCAACAGAACTTTTACAGAGAAATGATAGTTTAATGTTAAATGTTCTGGCATGTGCAAATGCTACTTGTGGCTTTTTGGCAATGCCTTGTGCTGACTTTTTTTTTTTTTTTTTTTTAAGTGTGTGTTGTGCTCTACCCTTTATGGAATAATGGTTGCTAATTTAGAAAGAAAAGTATAAAATAGAGCAGTAAATTATTTTGCAAACATTTATTAGTGTTCAGAATAAATCTGGAGAGGAAGGAGTGTTTAATGTTCAAAACTAAGACTATAATAAAAAGATACATTAGAGAAATTCATGCCACTTAAGTTTTTGGAAGATGAGCAAGCTCCTAGAATGTTTGAATAGTCCAACACAATTTTTTTAAAAAATATCATCAAATACTTAGCTACAGTGTTAATGGGATGTTTTTATTGCTACGCAGAGAAAAACATTTTTAGTTCTTCCAAAACACTGAGCAAGTAAAGTTAGTGCATTAGTTTCTTACTAGTTTAAGGCTCTTGTTGTAAATAAGAGTCATAACGTGGATGATCACTGGAAGGCCATTACCGTCTTTTACTCCACGTCTCTGAATGCAAAACCAAGAGCAAGACCGTCTGTTCTAAGTTTCCCTTGTTACCCAGCATCTTTCAGTAGCACTTGAAGATTTCTCCCCTCCCTTGTGTACTAATGATTTCCTGGAAACTAGCTGCCCATCGGTATGTGTATATATATCAGACTTGATGGCACTTCACAGCAACAACACACACACACACACTGTGTATAATAAAAACTCACTGTCAAAAGGGAAACTGAAAGTGGAGGCGGCCAATAGGCATATGATCTGAGAAGCCAGGTAGGA